TTGCATAAAGTGATTTAATCCTCTTAATAGCTCTATGAGATGGAAGCAGTATTACTACCGTTTTATAGCTGAACAAAATGAGACAAAGGGAGATTATGCGACTTGCCTAAAAGCGCAGAGCACATAGCAAATGGGTAAGTTGGGATTTGTACCTACTGGTCTTATTACAGAACTGGGCCTCCAACCACTGATATAGATGCTGCTTAGTATTAATAGCAAACTCAGTAAGTATCAGCTGGATGATTGTACTTAATGAATGACTGTACTTAGTAAATAATATTCTGATTGAAAATTGAATAACCATTTAAACTTAGAATTGATACTTTTATACTTACAGCGAAGAACTATTCCCTTCCTTTCTATAGGAATTCTCTTCCTACTTCTCTGTTCTGTAGAACGGCGGTTGCATTTTATAAGATTTTTGTACAAACCATTTTTTAAATCAACTTGAATTTAAAAAGAAGAGATATAAAATTCATAATCTATCATTTATTTTTCTATGAATAAGCTACTTGCTTCCTTGTTAATTTGCCCAAAGTGGAGATATGCTTCTCTCTCTTTTTCTGGAGATATGCTTCTTAATGTGAGCGCAGACTAACCAAAGAACATGTCTATTCTTTTGCTTTATTGTTCTTTTTAGAAAAATACAATAAATTTGATAACAAATTGAAGATAGCACCATGATATATCCAGAACGCAAAGAAAAAAAAAGAATATATCTAGCTTTATCTTGGCCACGTACTAAACATTATCTAATAAACTGAGTTGTAAGTTTTTGAATGGAAAGTAAAAGAATAAATATGAAGCTCAAATAGCTTTCTTATTTGCAAGTAAAGCAGATAGCCACCAAATATATATATATCTCACATGTATCTTCTACGATCTTCCACTTTCACTCTTAATCGATTTTATACTTTGTTCTCAATTATTCTGAAATTTTAAAAATATGCATAGTTTCCAGAGTTCTCAGATAATCCTAGGAAAATCTCAGAGATTGTCCTTTATTATCCTGTCATTTTGCGAATGAGGAAACTGATATTCTAAAATGACATGACCAAAGTTAGATGATTAGTGTCAAACCCCTGAGAAGGGTTATAAATCCGTAGAATCTGTGCAAATTTATAAAAGAGATTGCTTTTTGAGATTTCCTGGCTGCATTCCCCTCCTCCACTTTGATGTGAGTTGTCTCCTTCCTTCATCTGTCCCCAGTCTACTCAATTTTGATTCCACTCCCAGTGGAGTTTTTGTTAGATCTTTTGGGGTTTTTTTGTGGTGAGGAAGTTTGGCCCTGAGCTAACATCTGTTGCCAATCTTCCTCTTTTTGCTGAGGAATATTGTCCCTGAGATAACATCCGTGCCAATCTTCCTCTGTTTTGTATGTGGGATGCTGCCTCAGCACGGCCTGATGAGTGGTGTGTAGGTCCCCACCTGGGATCCGAACCCATGAACCCTGGGCTGATGAAGCAGAGAGCGTGAACTTAACCACCGTGCCATGGGCCGCCCCTGTTTTGTTTTTGAATGGAGGCTGCTGTCCTGTGAAGGAGTCCTGGTAGATCCATTTTGAGAGTTCATGGCGTCTAGACAGCTGCAGACCCACAGACCTTACAACCCAGACCCCTTGGACCCACTTAGTCTCAAAGTGAGTAAAACCCCTCCCAGTTTTAGCTGCCATTCTCAAACTGCCTGACTGTATTTTCCAGCCAATATCTGCGGGCTCTTCCATGATTCCCCTGCCTTCTCTTTCACAGACATAAATACCACACAGGTCTTGCGGCTATTGGCAGTTTGTCCCCATTAGCCTGTAGGGGGGACGCATTTTCACTTAATCTTGTTGTACATGTTTTCCATGGCTCATTGACTTTGCTAACTGGGTGCTCTGTTTCGTTGTGAGGACTTATGAAAATCCAAAAGCTATTCTGCCACGACCACCACTATCTTTCTAGAATTCTCCCTCATTTCTTTTTTCTTTTTAACAGCTTTACTAATTTGTAATTTATAATTTACATACCATTAAGTTCACCCATATAAAGTTTACAGTTTAGTAGTGTTATATTTATGGAGTTGTGTGACAATCACCAATCAATTTTCATCACCCCATACAGAACCCCCATGTTCGTTAGCCATCACTCCCCACCCCCAATTCCTTCAGCTGTAAGTAACCACTAATTTACTTTCCATCTCTACACATCTTCCTATTTGGGACATTTCCTATAAATAGTATCATACAATATATGGTCTTTTGTGATCAGCAGGATGTGATAGACAAATAAACATCAGTTTTTAATTTTTACATTTTTTTTGTGAGGAAGATTGGCCCTGAGCTAACATCTGTTGTCAATCTTCCTTTTTTTTTTTTCCCTCCCCAATGTCCCAGGACATAGTTGTATATCCTAGCTGTAAGTCGTTCTAGTTCTTCTATGTGGGGTGCAGCCACAGCATGGCTCGATGAGTGGTGTGTAGGTCCACACCTGGATTCTGAACCCACAAAACCTGGGCCACTGAAGTGGAGCATGCAAACTTAGCCACTCGGCCACGGGGCTGGCCCCTTAAGTCATTTTTAATTTCTTCATCTCAAATGGGAAACAGCAGCAATTCCTTCACAGATTCTGTGGCAACCTCTCTGCACATGGCTTGAAGCTGGTTTCCTCATGCAGGGTAATAAAGCACCATTTGAGAATATGGCATGGTTAATAAGAATGATGATAATTGTAACAATAAAATGTAAAACATAAATTTTACTATGTGCCAAGACTATTCTAAGCATTTCACATATGTTAACATATTTAATATTCACAGAAATCTAGGATGGAAGTACGATTATTATCAACACCATCTTATCAATGAGGAAACTAAGGCAAAGTGAAATAAAAAATCTCACCCAAGCTAGTCAGTGGCAGAGCCAGATTTCGTGCCCAGATAGTTTAACCCAAGACTCCTTGTTCTTAATCACTATTCTATAGCAAGTCTCTGATTTTTAGGTGTTTTGTCAAATACTATTCTCTTCTTCTAAACTGGTGATAGTAGAAAACAACTGAGTGTAACTTACACTCTAAGCTCCTTCTCATCACCCATATTTCGTAGCACTGATATTTTATTAGCATATAACTTAAAACTAAGGGGACCAAAAAAATCATTTTTTTAAATTTCATACATAGTCTTTTAAAATTTCTCCTAATGCTTTTTTTTTTTTCCTTTCTATCTTAACTAACATATATTTTGAAAATCTTCTTTACTTGTAGCAAGCTGGGCTAACAAAAACCAATGGCTACTTTTTCCTAAAATATAGTTGATACACAATTGACCATTTTCAACTACAATTGACCGCAATTTGCCTCATTTTGATAACAGGAAACAAACTATAAACTTAAAAGTACTTTATCACTAAATATATTAAATTATTATCCAGTAAGCTGAGCGTTGGATTGAGTTGAACAAAAGTAATTATAATCCTGTAAATTCTCACAGGATTTTAAGATAAGGAGGGGAGTAGCAGTGCCAAGTTCGACATGAAGCCTGGCAGAGTTAGAATAATAACTTTCAGTTTTCTTCTCTCCTGAATTATCCCATCTAGGAATCATTCTGCTTCCCTTGAGAAGAAAGGAATCTCTGTTTAATGAAAGCTTCTCTCCTTCTAAAATCTTAGCCAAAGTTTTGAAGAATTTTTCCTTTTTAAGTTGCCAATCATTTCTAGATTGAGTGACTAACTATAATAGAAATTTAGCATACTACAAGAAAAGGTACTAGAAAAGAGTTGAAGAAGCACATTCTCACTTCTGAAATACCTTTTCATGATTTTATGTTCAGAACCCCATTTTCTGTTGTCCAGGCACCCTCTCCCAAACATCCCCAAGCCCAAATACTGCCTCCTGTTTGACGCAGATACCTGGAGCTCTGTGCTCCCTAGACCATCTGGGATGCAAGAATGCTGACTTTATGTAACATATATAAGGTAGCTGAGTAGCATCCATCTTTCCCGGAAACATTGTGGGGAGAATGAAAATCTAAAGGATTGACTTTTAAGCAGAATCCTTTGAAGCAGCTGTGGTCATAAAAAGAGCAGATGCTGTAACATCACCAAAAACCAAACTCACATGTTTGAACTGCCTCTGTGAAGTGACATTTTAATATGAGAGTAACAATACAATTAAATAGCATTCAAGTTTAGCTCTCCATCCCAGGGGCTTGCCTCCAAGTGAATCAGTGTAGAAAACCACAGAAGGCATATCTTTCACTGGCAGTATATACTGCTCAGCACCCTTTTGGAAATCAGATGGAATAATTCCTCAGAAAGAACCTTGCCAATTGTGAAATTCTACAAATGTATTTATAATTATTTCTGACATTTTCTGGGTATTTTCGTAAAGAAAATCTAAGTATAGTCAAACTTCACATTTAGGAGTATGATAAATGATAGCAATTTTTTTAAGTTGCTGCTCACTTGCTAGAGTAGCATTTTAAATGCCCCAAGCATAGCTCTCAACTCAAGTCCTGCTTCAATTATACTTGGCTGAATTTATATATTCATTAACTGCCAGCTTTCTACCTCTTTTTTACTGGTTCATATTTATTAATTTACATTAGACAAACGTATACAGCATTAGTCTTATACTTTAAATTGTGTTGAAAAATAAATTCAAAGGAGAACACTTCTACATGTAGAAAGGGGATAGTATGGAAAGAAGAGAGAAATTACTTGTGCCTTTGAAGGATGGAGAAGCTATTATTTCCTTACATAAGGAAAGAGAAAAAGAAAGACAAAAGGAGGAATATGTCTGAGAAATCGCTTATCCCTAATGGATATAATAAAGGATTGTGGAGTAAATTGAGCATGGAGGGAAAATGATAATTTCGGAATTGTCAACAATTATGAAACTGTCTCTTGCAATTGATTTTTATGTATATACAAAATATATAATGGAACATTTTATAAACTTGAAACAAAGATAAAATGACTAGATCACAAATGTACTTCCAAATAGAAGGGGTTTCCAGAAACTTACCAGTCTTGCAATTTTTAAATTCAATGTCATCAATTGCAGCTCCTCCTCCTAGATCCCTTGTTCTGATACCTTGAAATATAACTTCAAAATTCCTTAACTTTCCCAGCAGGATGACAGCCTTTTGCCAATGATCACCAGAGGTCTGCTCGCTTTCTTGCCATACTTTTGATAGCCCTTTCTCTGTCTGAAAGCAAAGAAGTTTGCATTAGGGAAATAATTAAACACAACAGAAGAAGAAGAAAACAACCAATCATTTAGAACAGAAGCATCTGAGCAGTGAAAACTGACTTAAAAAAATTGGAACTCTGAGCATAACCATGTTACAATCAAAACATCAAAACAGAGACATATTATTCTACTAAAGTATTTCCCCAAAGCAATACTAGCAGAAATAAAAATAATCTTGCATTTTTTTTCAGAGGCGCAATTATTAGGAATTGTCCTACTCAGTTGAGTCCACCTCTCCTTGCATGTACACAAAATTCTCCATATCTGATGGAATCTGAAGTTTACAGAAGCCCAGAGTTTATAGTTCTGAACACCCCTTCCCATCTCCTATTCATATTTTTTAATTATTGAGTTTGTATCTTTCTTCAAAGAGCTGGAATAACTTATGTAAGGAAAGAGAAAAAGAGAGACGAAAGGAGGAATACGTGTGAGAAATTGCTTATCCCTGGTGGATATAATAAAGGATTGTGGAGTGAACTGAGCGTGGAGGGAAAGTGATAATTTCAAAATTGAGTCAGATTTCAAAAATTCTATTCTTCTATTATTTTGACTATTAAAAATTATATTATATGATTATTACATGAGCATCAACTATATTTTTATACTAAATTCTTCCATTTATAAAGGGAAATTTATTTTTTCTAAAGAAACATATAAATATCTCCTCTGAATGTCTGAGGTTGGTCTACCAGTAGTATGGTATTATAATATATGAATAGTTCCAGTATAACATAACATGTCACGACATATAATCATAAGGATCAAATAAAAATGATACCTACAGTAACACAGAATAAAAGCCAGTGAGCACAATGACAAGATTAGATTGTACACATTGTTCTTTGTTATTCTAGACCTAGCTTCTCCTGAGAATTAGATGTTTTAATAAATCATGCTGATGGATTCATAGCAAAGAAGGAGAAATAAATAAATACAGCATTATGTTTAGGTTAGCCCCAAATAATTAATATCTCAGGGTCCAATATTGTGTTTTCTTGATGAATTCACGAGAAAAACTTATCTCTGAAGCTTATAATCAAATCAGTGGAATAGAGGTATTGAGTGGAATGGCATCCAGAAAATCAAGCAAGATGTTCCAACAGCTTTAGAGCGTACAACTGTGGAATACCTAATTTACAGATTTTTTTAAAATATAGGCTAAAGAAAAGAAGAGAAATGTTTGAAGAGGAGATGCAAAAGAGCTACACATTCATAGTTTCATGCTTTTCGGGGACTAACATTAACAAATATGGCTGACGCCTTGTTCTGCTGATGGAGACACAGATCGATCAAGTGGTTTTTCCTCTGTTGAATTACAGAGAGAAAGTGGAACTACATATCAGTTAGTCTAAGATTACCTTTACAAAACAACTAACAGTATATAGATAGATCTTTCAACAGCCTTTCCAAAACAACAACAGCAACAAAGCTTTACACTCAGAGAGTCATGTAACTTCTGCATTGAAGAGATGAGAAATTCACACGTAATTAATGGAGTTTCATATCTGTCTGATTGCTAAAGAAGAGAAGCCTTTTTCAAAGTTGGTCTTTGACCCTCAGTGATGTCTTAGTGAATCAAAGGAATGATTAGTTAAATTAAAGATCAAAATAGAGAGAGTCTGTCTGACACGTAGCAATATAACAGGCATGGATATTGATAAAGTCTGTCTTAATTTACAAACCTAATTCACTTTGTTAATTTTTCCTATTAATCTGCCTCTGGAGTTTATAGAGTCACTCATTAACTACGTCAAGCCCCCAAAAAGTTTTCAACAAATACCATCAAAGAAGGTTGTTGATCACTTTAATCAATAAAATGAGAACCATTTCTTAAATTTTACAACTGCCTTCTAATAAAAAACAGATTTAAATAACATATTCATTGTCATTTTATGTGGTAGGAAAAGAAAATGAGGGTGAATTCTTTTGAAAACCAACCATGGAGCAACCTAATGATGGATTATTGTAGAATATCACTCTAATATACTTGCTCTTATTCCACTTTGCATATAACAGATCAAATATTATCCTCATAATGATCAAAAGTAATCATCTAACTGTGCAATGGAGATTTATTTATTTATTGACTTATCCATCCAGTCATTCATTTATTTTGCAAACATTTGGTGCTCACACAGTGCCACACACTTTGTTAAACACCAGAGATACAGAGGTGAAAATAAAGGGAGCTTATCCTGTGATGGTAATAATTTAATTGAGAGAGTCATAAAAGCAAATTCTAATAAAATTACTATAGAAATTTAAAGCAGAGCAACTTTTAAAAAAGAGATTATATATCAATCCCCCAATTTTTGCTCCACATACATTGTTGCTTTATTTAGTTACTTAATATTCTGATTTTGGTTCTTTGTCAATTGAGAAAGAGAAAAACTTCTCACTTCCCACTCATGCCTCTGCCATCAGGGAAGGATATCTCTTGTATTCATGTGGACATTAAATTCAAGAACCCAAGGTAAGAAACATACAAAAAGTGATTGAGCACAGTAATAATAGTAAAAAATAGACATTAATACAATAATGGTTAAATTATAGAAATTGAAAAAATACTCTTTTCTTATAATTTAACCTTTTACCAAATGATGAATTGATTTCCCATGTATTATGCATATTGATCCTCTATTGCATATTTGTTTTGGCTATGTATTTGTCTTCACACTTTATGACAGTCTTTCCCTTGTGGGTCACATAAGGAAAGGCAATAAGAAATACTAAAAAGATAGAACCACTTCAAGTTGTAGACATATATTAATAAGGGATAAACACTTGGAATTTCAGCTCCATGTGTTTGAGGTGAATGTATAAATTTTCCCCAAATTATTAGCCAATTTTTCCAAAATCAATTGATCTCCACCTCTTTTCTCTTTATCATATTTTGAATTTATTTCTGGAGTTTCTGTATCAGTTCTGATCTCTATTTAGTAAGCCACCGTGTTTTCTTTTTGGAGAAGGTTTGAGTGGACATATTTTCCACATTCCTCGTACTGATAACAACTAAAACTCCTGGACATTTTATATAGTTTTATATAAACAAAAGAAGATTCTGAAAAATGGAGAGAAGAAGGTAGACTAGCCAGGGACCTCAGGACTCAAGGAACCACAGTGGTGAGTTTCCTAAATTTTCTTTTTTTATCGTATTTCCCAAAATGGATATGAAAATCTGGCAACATGGAAATCCAAGGGTGCAGACTGACCTCTCTAGCCAAAGGACAGGAAAGGTGAAATCTAGCAAGAAAGAATACTTAGTTAATAATTGTTCTTCAACAGTCACACATCACAGAAAAGTTACAGTCTGATCCCACCCCCAACAGCACAGGCTGAGTGGAGAGCCTAGACTTCCGCCCACATCAGGCCCCAACAGCCCAAGACCCATCCTCCTAAGACTTTTTCAAATGAAGGAAAACTAAAAGAATTTGTCACCAGTAAACCTACCCTGAACGAATGGCTAAAGGAACTTCTTTAAACAGAAATGAAATGATAAAAAAAGGAATCTTGGAACACCAGGAAGGAAAACATGAGTAAATATGATAAATTTTCCTTATCCTCTTTAACTTTCTAAATTATATGTTAGGGTTGAGGAAAAAATTAAAATACTGTGTAATATGGTTCTAAATGTATGTAAAGGAAATAATTAAGGCATAAATATTATCAATGAGGGAGAGTAAAGATCTAGAAAGGGAAGTAAATTTTCTACACTTGAGTTGAGGTCTTAATATTGTATTTTAATAGGTCACATTGTCATCCTCAATATTTTTTTGTTCTTTAGGTTTTCTCATACATTCGTTCTTCCAAATGAATCTTAGAATAATTTAATGAATAACTGAAATAATTAAGTACTGAATTATTTTACCCTGAGATATAATTTATCTTTTGATTTGTTCAGGTCTCTTTTTATACCACTTACTAAAATTTTATAGTTTTTTTAAATAAATAAGTTACATTTATTATAAAATTTATTTCTAGATATATTGCAATGCATGCTACAATGGTAAATAAGATACTTCTTCATTATTCTGTTCTGACTATTAATAATATAAAGAAATAATCAGATTGTCAGGATAGCAAAGTAGCAATGGCTAGTGGCTTCCTGACCCAATATAAATCCTGAAAAACTACAGAAACTATTGGGAAGGATGGATTTGGGGAAGAGCAAATGGAAAACAAAGAAAGAAGCAGAAACTGACAAACATCTGGAAGTTTAGGTTGTCTTGAACACCACTGTCTGGGGGGCAGGTTGCCCAGTCTGGGGAAGAGAGCAGCTGGAACTAGCCACAAGGGTAGGTGGTAGGAGAGCTCCTGTACAGCCATGTCTTTCTTCTCCCTTGCTTGAACAATGATTTCCAGACTCTACAGAAACCAGTAATTAAATTTAGGGTGCAATATCTGTGAGATATGAAGGCAGTTAAAATCCTTGCTCAAGTGAAGAGGTGATAGTCAACGCTTCCTACTCAAGTTCCCTTCAAATTTTCAGGGACATGAACAATAATCTACAGAGTTTGCCGCCTACACTGATGCTTACTAATATTTAAATATTCAAATGAGAACTCAAAAGAGAAGAGACGCTGTCTAGCGGCAACTAATGGAAGCAATCAGTAGTTGTTCTGTGGTACTTGGGTCTTTCTGCCACAAGGCTCACCCTTCACATTTCCTTAAACTCACGTGATGGACACAGGCAAAGGGCTGGCCTTCTACTTTTTCCTAAATTACCAGAGAGAGCAACTCATGTTACTATGGACACATGAGTTGACAGGCCAAAGTAACCAGGCTCTAAAAGGCCAAATAACTATTAAAGGATAACATTAAACTGAACAACATGTAACATCAAAAGCAGAATTTTAAAAACAGATGGAATAAGTTTTAAAAGGCTTCAGGCAAACACATAAGAAGACAAGCAAAGATATAGCAGCGTAAAGAAAACGCTAGAAATCATAAAAGTAA